TCTGCCTACAGTCTGTATATATATATATATATATATATATATATATATATATAATTTTCTTAGCAAACAAACAATGCAGCCATGGCCCACAAAAGCAAATACATCACAATATAACAACAAAATACAACAAAACACAAATAAGTCCAGGCAGCGCCCCAACCTGGTGGCAAAAGACAATTATTGGTACCAGCAGATGAGCCACCACATCTGCTGCTGAAGGCACTGCTCATACGAGGGAGGGGAATCACTCATGGCATCTACTGTAACACACCAGGAGCCGTCAGGCTTCCTGGCCTTCTCTGCCTATAGTCTCGGCTACAAGCCACACACAGCATCCACTCCCAGGATGCACTAGCTCTGGGATTGGCGAGTCTATTCTGTTGGGGGTAATCGCCAACCCTCAGGGTTTCTGTCTGCAGTCGCTCCAACACTCGGCCTTCATAGCCACCAATGCGACTCGCAGACCCCTGCACTCAGGCCAACCCACTGCACAAGCACATGGGTCGGGGATTCTTGGATACAAACGCTACATTCAGCTTGGGCTCCATCCCAAGCCACGTTCCCCACCCGTTCCCCAAGGACAGGTTCCTCAGCTCCTCACCCTCACTCGACAATGAGCAGGGCATCACCCACAGGTGATTTTACGAGACTCACAGGTCTTCAGCATGCTCAGGCTGCTTAACAGCCACCCAGGGCTTCTCAACTTAGCATCAGCACCAGCTTTTGCCTTCTCAGTTGGCTTTTCTCCTCCACCTAGCTGCTGGGCATGCACAGGCTGCTTTTGGCCATCCCACTGGCCACCCCCAGATTCCCAAAAGACATAACCTGCCAAGGTCCTCCGCCTTCTGGCAGGATTGTCAGTCCAAGTCCATCAGTCCAAGTCCATTAGGCCTTTCCATCAGCACTGGCGAGCTCTGAATCACGGTCCTCTCTTCCCCGACGATTCTTGCTGCCTTAGGGGTCGTTGGCTGGTCCTCTCAGGCATCTCCTTCACGCCAGCCGAGGTCTTGTCCCGCAGCTCCTGAATGGTGTCCACCTTCTGTGCCGCCATGGCGCCTCCAGAGTCATCACAGGCAAACACAGTCTGTTACTCCTTAGTCCCTCCAGGTATTCGGAGGGCTCCAATACCCGTCTACATGGATCATCCTGCCAACTTACGCCAATTGTAGGGCAGGAACAGACACGGGCAGGTTTTCTGATCCAGCAGACCGGGTAAAGGAGGAGTCAGAGTCCTCAGTGGTTTTTGCAGGTCTTTTATTGGGATTTACCTGGTACACAGCAGGCAGGGGTGCTGGGGGGCCGGCACCCCTCTTCACTCTATCTGGGCTCTCCAGCATTCTCTGCTTCACTCTCAGCTTCTGCTACTTCTTTCTCGGCTTCTGCTTCTCCTTCTGCTGGCGTCCCCATGACGCCGCCCTTAAAAGCCCAGTCTCAGCCCAGGTGAATCCCATCTACCTAAGCCCACACCCTACTCCAGGTGCCCGCCATCAGGCATGCATTCAGGACCACAAGGATCCATCATCTATCCTGATGGTGGGAGGGCAGAAAAGCCTGACATTTCTCCTTACCCTACACCAACCCAGTGCTCAACCGGGGAGCTAATCTTATTAAGACATTTTGCCCCCAGTGACCGTGCAGAAACAAGATAATAAAAAGGTAAGTAGTTTATGGATAATTGAAATCCAGTCATTTCCCTCTTTATTCTTCTCAGTCCCTTTTTTTAGTCTGTTTATCACTGCATTCATCCCATCAGAGTTCTTCCTAAATCTTTCTTTAAGCATATTTTCTTGCATCTAAAACAAAGGGGTGCAGAAAGAGGAAAAGAAATTCTTGAATATCTCCATTTTTCAAGAGTTAGATATTTAAGAACTTTGCTAAATTTTTGGAATTTTACACATAACACTATGCCCTCTTACTAAACAATCAGAAGATTACATTTTTTAAATATAATTTGTTTTCTTACACCATTGTCCATTTTAGTATAGCATTTGATTTCTCCACCACCATAACACCTGTGGTCCATCACCATCGCCCTTCTACCCCCCCTCCCCATTTTGACCCCTCTGCCTGCCCCTCCCTGTTGGATGCCTCAGATCTATGGTCAGCTGGCAAGTTTTGTCTTTTTCCTGACCCTTGACCTCTTGAAAAATCAGGGTTCGGTACTTTTAGTGAAGCCGTCTGATATTTATCTTTTTCTTTTTGATTTATCTTACTTAAAATAATCCTTTCCAGCTCCATCCATATTGCTGCAAATGGCATGAGTTTACCTTTTTTATCACTGAGTAGTATTCCATTGTGTATATGTACTGCATCTTCAGAAGATAGTATTTAAAGCAAAGAATATCTTCTGGGCTACATGTCTATAGTGAAATGAGGATACTTTCAACTTACTGATATCCATTCACCATTAAGGCTTTGCTGGGGGCTGCAGCAAGCATGAGGGCAAGTGCAGTAATATGCTCCAACCAAAGCTGCAGGTTGCACAGGAGCCATTAGTTCACTTGCACAAATGTTCACCCCCACCTGGGGTGGCACAGTCTCCCATATCACAGAAATAGTGGGAAAGTATAAGCTGATTAAGAAATACATAAATACTTCCAGAGGGGAAAAAGAGGATGCACCATGTAGTGACTGAGGCAAGCTACCCACATCTGCAGCAAGTTTAGAAGGCGTCAGTTCCTTATATTTCTAAGTGCAGTTATGTCTGATAGTTTCAGGTCAGCATCGCTACAAATCAGGATCTTTGATGGTAGATTTCCTGAAAATTGACAATGGTCTTGGTGAAGCACCTGGTTGCTGCTTATGTGAAAAACATGGGGCTGAAATAATCCATGAGACCCTCATTAATTTCGGCTCATAAGACCATCTCAGAATCTTACCTGTAAGACAACTCAAACCTTGGAGAAGTTACTTATATCCTTCAAGGACATGGATAGCCAAGGCCCCCCAGACACGCCAAGGACTCAGTCTGGAGCAGAAATCAAAGACCTCTTGAAAAATCAGGGTTCAAAACTTTCAGTGGCTCAAATGTAGCCAATGACAGTAATGTGTCTCTTTTTTTTTTAGTTTTGCTTTAACTTCTTTAACTTCTTCCCTTCCTCCATGATGACCAGAGCGACAGCCATTAAGAACTACTAAGACCATGTCAGACTCACCTTCATCTTTGTTCCAGTATCATATTCTGTTGCCTCCGATCATTTTCTCTTCCCTCTCCAGCTTCTCTCACCTGGTCTATGCTCTCCCTGTAGCTTCTCTCTTGAGCCATCCTGGCTTGTTCCTCTGTCCCATGAAGGTTTTAGGAAGAGAAGAACGTTACAGATCACATTCGAGCTATACCCTCTTAACACAGAGATCAAATTTGAAAAGGAGAATAGGAAACCTTAAATTCCCCCGGTGGCCACACTATCAAAAGCAGGTCTGAGACTATGGTGGAAAAGACTGATGTACGATAGGAATGCTGCCTATTATTTTCAGAATTAGCAGGGTGTACATTCTACGAAGGAGGGAAAGCTTTTTCTGTCAAAGTGCAAAGTAAGAAACTACCTCCCTCCCCCACAACCATGTGGCTTGAGCCCTACCCCATACCTGCAATGGCCTTCTGCCCAGCAGTGAGGGCTGTGTCAGCCTGCAGGATGGATTTCTCTATTGGTGCCTGTGACTTCAGGAAACCCAGGAGGACCTCATTTGCCTGAGGAACCAAGAAGAAGCAAAGAACTTAGATTTTCTTTGAGATTTATTCTGTACAAACCATGTCATTTTTTATTTTTTGCTTAAAATGCTCCAGGATGGGGCCTCCCTGGTGGCACAGGGGTTAGTCTCAGCACTGTCAAGCTATCTCCAGCCACTGCAATAAGAATTCAATCCCTGGCCAGGGAGCTGAACCACATGGTGTGGCAGACCTCTCCTGTCTTGCCTGCTGCTCCCCTCATCAGTGCATTTCAGTAGATCCACCTTTTCTGCTCTCCACTCTGTCTCTGGTGAATCCTCTCACCCTCACACCTCTGGCCTATTATCCAGTTCTGTATGATAAATAAATAAATCTTTTTTTAAATGCTCTAGGATTCCCTGAAAAGAATCCAAATTCAGTATGACCAGAGGGTATCCATATCCCCCTCCCTCCTAAACACACACACACACACACACACACACATATGTACTCGTGCATAAACATATGCATGCATATATATAATTTTATTTATATATTATATATATTTATTATATATAATTATATATTATTATTTATATATAATTATATATAATATATAAATATATATATGCTTTATATATTAGCATGTATATCTGGGGCTCCTCCTTTTACAACACCTTAACCTGGAGAGCAAGTGCAAATCCTTCAAAATTCCCCCCTCTTTGGGAGCCTTCCCTAGACAGTACACACTGTGGCATGCAGACTCTAATCACACTGCCATTCTCCCACCACTTGCTAGATGTGTAACTCCAGGCAAGTTACTTCACTGCCTGTGCTCCCTAGCTCCACTGACAAAATGGGACTCAATTCTTATAAATATTTTTGGAAGCTTATATGAAAATGTCTAAAGAGCTCAACTATAGACACTAGCAGCTAAATATAGCTTAGTTTGTTTTTACATTTCTTACCATAATATCACAGGTCTGCCCAGAATTCCAGCTTGATAAGCATCATCACTGTGTATGTAGGTGTCTATAGGCTGGACTGCCTTTCACTTTGATCAGCCTTGACTTTAACTTGTAAATCATTACCCCTTGACATATTGCACGTCATGTTGCTAGGAGAAGGCATAAGATTTCCCTTCTCTCTCTCTCGTGAATTTCAGATATCTGTACTCATTTTAGGGAAATGGACATTCATATTCTCCTCCAGGAATAAAGAGAAAAGAGTGGGCCTTGAAGTCTGAAGCTCTCACAGTGACCCCCACCCCCACTCTTGATGCTCCCAAGGGTGCTGTTTTCAGGACACGCCCTTGATTCCTCTCTGGACCTCCCCATTCAAGTTCATTCCTCACCTTCACTCCTTTTCCTGACCCACGCAGATAGTCTCTCTCAATCCTATCCATTGCTTCCCTGTAGAGCTTGTGCCCTCCGGGAGCATGGAAAGTTCCTGCTGAAATACTTTCAGTTAGGTCCTCTGAAAGCTTCTCAAGTAGTTCCTGGCAGTATTTACCGGATACCTCTTCATTCTGCCGCAGGAAATCCTCCTTCTTCTTTTTGATGATTTTCTAGAAGGGGAATGCAGAGGATGTCACCAGAAGGAAACAGAGGAGGTAAAATTTCAGAGGATCTATTAGATGGAAGGACTAACTATGTTCGTCTTAAGAGAGCATTCTGGCTGTGCAGCACTAGCAATGGAGCGTGAATCAAGAAATTTTCTCCCAACTCTAAATGCTCTGTAATACCTGCTAAAGCTTTGTTAAAAAAAAAGATTGCATTATCCATTCTTTACAGTTCCGGGTGGAGCATCCTGTGTTTTCAATCATGCAATGATACCTCTGAAAACAAAAATAAATATAAAGGACAACCAGTTAAGATCGTCTGTCCTGGGAAATCAAGGGTCTGGGCCTAGGAGTGAGGGGGGCTAGCGAGCAGCCAGCTCAGGAATGACAGGGGAGTGCTGAGGCCATCACACAGTTCTCTAAAGGCAAAATCAATGTTGATTTTCTTGAGGGATCAGACAGATCCTGAATAATTCCCCAAACTCTGAGGGAAAAAAAGAAGGAATAAGAGTCCTCTGCAGTTCTGTCATGGGAATCCAGACTACTTTACCCTAGATAGGAAATGAGTTGTGGGATGAATAAGTAGATCTCAAGGCATCGTTCCAGAAGGTCGAGACTCAGGAAGGGAAAGTACCATGAGCCTCACCTGGTACTCTCGCTTGTTATCCTTGAAGGAATGTTCCATGAAGATTGCCATGGCCTCTCTCTCACAGGCTGCGTGCACGTCCAGTAACTCCTGGAGCGACTCCGTGGGGAAGCTCACTCGCTGGGCCATCTGCTGGCTGTTGTGCTCGGCTGCCTTGTCCATGGCTGCTGAGTTCTCAAGCTGGGCCAGAGTTGTCACTGCGTACTCCACACAAGGAATTTTTCCACTCTTGATGGCATCCACATAGGTCACCACCAGAGTTTCAAGCTCTGAATGAAATAGGAAATTGATAAATATCAATTGTCAATTGATATTGAAAGATTTTGACTTTATGGTTCTAAAAGCTCCTCTCCCTCCCTCTTTCAATTGTGCGCGCGTGCGTGTGTGAACACACACACACACACACACCCCTATTTTACTGTTACCACCTTCAATTCCATATTTATTCTTTATTGTTCTCTAAGCCTTAATATTTTTTAAAATATTATATACCTTTCTCTAACATAATCAGGACTGTCTGGGAATCATTATTTTACAACAACACAAATTAAGAGAAAAATACTGTAAAGGAAATCACACCAGATAATATTATGCCTCATTCTTAAACTTTCCATGATTTTCTGAGATTAGTATTTCTTTTGGACTAGCTTAAACTCCAAGAAGTCTAAAGCTAGTCTAAAGCTAGATTGTGGGGTCTAATTAGGATATTCACTTTTTGTAGAAGATACAATAATCCAAGCACTAGTAAGTTTTATCCCTCTTTGAGAAGGTTAACAATTAGGGGAATATGTTCTTTATTGTGAACTCATGCCGAATAATTCCAGAGCTTATTGTTTCCTCAACACAGAAAGGAGATGCATAACAAGGAACACAAATGTTTAGTCTTTAAAAAGTTTTGGCACCAACTCTATCTAGGTAATTAGGCATAACTTAAGTGCAGGTTAGTTTTGAATCATTTCAGTGTACCTTAAATTTTTTCTTCTTGGTTTGTTTAAGTGCGGACGGGCCACACTGAGGCTTATCTTTTGCACCTGCCCTCTACTCTAGATATGCCTGAATATCTAGATATCATTGTCACTGATATCTGGAAGGTCCCAGGCACTATTTCTACGGTCCTCGATCCAGCCTCAAATACAAATGCAACCCCAGAGACGATGACAGAGCTTAGTGACCCCCAGCCTCGAGAAGACCATCCACTGCCAGCCTGTGTTCTCATACCTGCAGTCAGCTTCAAGGCATTGTCCAGGTACTCATCTGCTGAGATATTCCGATCACCATTTTTCAGCTCCAGGGTAAAATCCCAGACAGTCCAGATAAAGTCTGGAAAGAAGTGTAGACACTCTGTGGAATCTCCTAAGTCCTCAGCACTTGAGGAGGACTTGGACCTGATGAGTTCTGTGAGCTTTGTCACATAACTAGGACTTAGTTAAGGGAAAAGAATTCATTATCCTTAATTACACATTTCCCTCACTTAAAAAGTCATAAACGCTCTCATACTGACTTTTCACTACTCCACGAGGACAATTCATCCACCGGAAAGAGGAATCCATTTTGGTCTCGATTCCCATCTTTTTCTCAACAAAACTAGGAAGGATACTACAGTTTCTCCAAGGCATCCTTATTGATGGTGCTTTCTTTTTTGTGGACTAAACAGATGCTGAGCAGCACAGTCAGGGTAGAGATCAACCGACACATTCTTAGGTTCTACCTAAAACACATGGAGCAAGCACATTCTTCTATTCAGAATCATTTTCTGTTCAATCATTTTCCATTTTTATTTCACATCTCTAAATTTCTTTGTATTGGTACAAAGAGAAAATCTTCACAGGTTTAAAGGCAAATCTTAGCTTTGACAGTTTCAGTAACATCTCTTATCACCTTAGTTTTCTCATCTATAAAATAATTCTAGTAATATTTTTCTCAAAGTGTCTTTTTTTCTGAATGCGATCATCTAAGAGAAAATTTATGAAAAAAGTAGTGTCTTGAGAAATTCAATGTTCAGCAATAAATGATACCCCATGTTCTCTTAGCAAAATATGAACTACAGACCACTATGCTATCACAGTTAACACTCAAAATGAATCGAATTACATTAAATAATTATGAACCACTACTAAATGTCAAACATCTTAGTTATAGGGAAGCAAAGATAAATATGACAATTTGTATACTCAAGATGACCATCTCATGGTGTTTACACACTTTAAAAACTAAATACAACAAAGATGACAATATATGCAAAATATATATATAGTAGTAGTAAATCTAAAGTGAAATCAGTGGCTATAACATTGAATAAAAAGGCTGAATCAGTCCAAGAAGAACCAAAGCTATGGAGTAAGGCAAAGAGTGTGTGTGCTACGTGAGACCTACCTAGAAATTTTGTGCTAGATATTAAAGTATTTGTAAAACATGGCTTTGAGATGAAAGAAGCATACAAGCAGACAGACCTGTAGAGGAAATTCGAGTTAGTAGGCCGTAAGCAAGGAGTTATTGGGGCTGACAGGTATACAGCACAGGGTAGGTACAAAAGATAAGCCTCAAAAGCAAGCTCCCATGCAAAATGACACCTTGAAGACTAACGTAATTGTTTTTGTGTTATGCATATATTGCTGAAGACAGCATTTAGTGTAGTAGAAAACATGGTGGTGTCCCAGTGACAGCAACAAAAACAGGCAGCAGGACAGATCTGGCCTAGAGAAAAAAAATTGTCAACTCCTATTATAAAGTTATTTGTTTTTTTTTTTTAATAAAACCAACATTTAATCTATCTATATGTGTCAGGCCTCAGTATCCTTTAGTGTTTATGTACTTTTGATGTTCAAACCTTTTTTGAGTTCAATGAAAACACACACACTCCAAAAACAGGATGAAGCCTCTATTCACCTTTCATAAGTTCCTTAAAAGAGGTGTTAATCTTATTAAAACAGATTGCCCAGAACCATCAAACCCAAATGCATCACTTTAGCCACCCGGGCAACAGATTGTGGGTTGGCAAGTATGTCAAAGGCCCATGAAATCCAGGGAGCTTTTTTTTCCTCTTTATTCTTCTCAATCTCTTTTTCTCAGACAATTTATCTCTGCATTCATCTCCTCAGATTTCTTCAAAAATCCTTCTTTTACTTTTTATAATAAATTTTATTTTTATATTCCCCATACAATTGCAACCTCCTTATTTTGACCCCAATCCCTCCCCTCCCGCCCTCTACCCCCCATAGAGTGTCTCTGGTTCACAGTTTTTTGTTGATTTTGATTTTCACTTTCTTTATAGTTATTCATTTTCCTGGTCCCTTATTTAAGTTGTCTAGATTTCTGCTATGAGTGAGACCATCTGGTATTTTTCTTTTTCTTTCTGGCTTATTTCGCTGAGCATGATCCCTTCCAGCGCCATCCATGTTGCTGCAAATTGCATGTGTTTATCTTTTTTGAATGCTGAGTAATATTTCATGGTATATATGTACCACATCTTCTTGATCCAGTCATCTATTTTTGGGCATTTGGGTTGTTTCCAAAGCTTAGCTATTGTAAACAGTGCTGCTATAAACATAGGGGTGCAGGTGTTCTTTTGAATTGATGTTTCTGTGTCCTTTGGGTAAATACCTAGGAGTGGAATGGCTGGATCATATGGAAGTTCTATGTTTAGTAGGTCCAGAAATCTCCACACAGCTCTCCATAGTGGTTGGACCAGTTTGCACTCCCACCAACAGTGCAGAAGAGTTCCTTTTTCTCCACACCCTCGCCAACATTTGTTGTTGCTAGTTTTTTAATATGTGCCATTCTCACTGGTGTAAGATGGTATCTCATGGTAGTTTTGATTTGCATTTCCCTGATGACAAGTGATGTTGAACATTTTTTCATATGCCTGTTGGCCATTTGCATTTCCTCTTCAGAGAAGTTTCTTTTTAGCTCTTCTGCCCATTTTTGGACTGGATTATTTTTTTTGTTGTTGTTGAGTCTCATCAGCTCTTTGCAGATTTTTGTGATCAGTCCTTTATCATTAGTGTTGTGTGCAAAAATGTTCTCCCAGTTGGTGGGGTTTCTCTTTGTTTTTGTTATTGTCTCTTGTGCTGTGCAGAAGCTCTTTAATTTGATGTAGTCCCAGCTGTTTATCTTTCTCTTCACTATCACTGCTTTGGGTGATGTGTCTGTAAAGATGTCTTTGATGTGCAAATCCCGTAGTGTTTCGCCTATATTTCCTTCTATGTATTTTATGGTTTCAGGTCTTATGTCTAGTTCTTTAATCCATTTTGAGTTGATTTTTGTGTATGGTGTGAGGTAGTGGTCAAGCTTCATTCTTTTGCATGTAGCGACCCAGTTTACCCAGCACCATTTATTGAACAAACTTTCTTTGCTCCAATGCATATTCTTTGCTCCTTTGTCAAAGATTAGTTGACCATAAATCTGTGGGTTTATTTCTGGATAGAAAATCCTTCTTTAAGGCTGCCCCTCCCCTGTTGGATGCCTCAGGTCTATGGTCAGCTGGCAAGTTTTGTCTTTTTCCTGACCCTTGACCTCTTGAAAAATCAGGGTTCAGTACTTTTAGTGAAGCCGTCTGATATTTATCTTTTTCTTTTTGATTTATCTTAAAATAATCCTTTCCAGCTCCATCCATATTGCTGCAAATGGCATGAGTTTACCTTTTTTATTGCTGAGTAGTATGCCATTGTGGATATGTACTGAATCTTTAGAAGATAGTATTTAAAGCAAAGAATATCTTCTGGGCTACATGTCTATAGTGAAATGAGGATACTTTCAACTTACTGATATCCACTCACCATTAAGGCTTTGCTGGGGGGCTGCAGCAAGCATGAGGGAAAGTGCAGTAATATGCTCCAACCAAAGCTGCAGGTTGCACGGGAGCCATTAGTTCACTTGCACAAATGTTCACCCCCTCCTGGGGTGGCACAATCTCCCATATCACAGAGATAATGGGAAATTATAAGCTGATTAAGAAATACATAAATACTTCCAGTGGGGAAAAGAGGGGATGGCCCCATGTAGTGACTGAGGCAAGCTACCCACACCTGCAGCAAGTTTAGAAGGCGTCAGTTCCTTATATTTCTAAGTGCAGTTATGTCTGATAGTTTCAGATCAGCATCGCTACAAATCAGAATCTTTGATGGTAGATTTCCTGAAAATTGACAATGGTCTTGGTGAAGCACCTGGTTGCTGCTTATGTGAAAAACATGGGGCTGAAATAATCCATGAGACCCTCATTAATTTCGGCTCATAAGACCATCTCAGAATCTTACCTGTAAGACAACTCAAACCTTGGAGAAGTTACTTATATCCTTCAAGGACATGGATGGCCAAGGCCCCCCAGACACGCCAAGGACTCAGTCTGGAGCAGAAATCAAAGACCTCTTGAAAAATCAGGGTTCAAAACTTTCAGTGGCTCAAATGTAGCCAATGACAGTAATGTGTCTCTTTTTTTTAGTTTTGCTTTAACTTCTTTAACTTCTTCCCTTCCTCCATGATGACCAGAGCGACAGCCATCAAGAACTACTGAGACCATGCCAGACTCGCCTTCAGCTTATGTTCCAGTATCATATTCTGTTGCCTCCGATCATTTTCTCTTTCCCTCTCCAGCTTCTCTCTCACTTGGTCTATGTTCTCCCTGAAGCTTCTCACTTGTGCCTGTTTTTGTTGTTGCTGTTCCTCCTATTTCTGTCTTAGCAATTCCTGCTCTTTCTCAACGGCCACCATCCTGGCTCGTTCCTCTGCTCCATGAAGGTTTTAGGAAGAGAAGAACGTTACAGATCACATTCGAGCTATACCCTCTTAGCATAGAGATCAGATTTGGAAAGGAGAATGGGAAACTTCAAATTCCCCTGGTGGCCACACTATCAAAAGCAGGTCTGAGACTATGGTGGAAAAGACTGATGTACAATAGGAATGCTGCCTCTTATTTTCAGAATTAGCAGGGTATACATACCAGGAAGGAAGGAAAGCTTTTTCTATCAAAGTGCAAAGCAGAAAACTACCCCCTCCCCCACAACCATATGGGTAGAGCCCTACCCCATACCTGCAATGGCCTTCTGCCCAGCAGTGAGGGCTGTGTCAGCCTGCAGGATGGATTTCTCTATTGGTGCCTGTGACTGCAGGAAACCCTGGCCTATACCCCAGTTCTGTATGCAAAAATAAATAAAATAAGTATTTTTTAAAAATGCTCCTGGATCCCCTACAAAAAGTCCAAACTCAGTATGACCGGAGGGTCTCCACATCTCCCTCCCTCCTACACATACACACACACACACTTGTTTATGCTCGTGTGTGTATATATTTGCATGTGTATATATGTATATATGTATTAATATGTGTGTGTATATATGTATATATGTATATGTGTGTGTATTGTGTGTATATATGTGTGTATATATGTATATATATGTATATGTGTGTGTGTGTGTATCCTTTATATATTAGCATGTTTATCTGGGGCTCTTCCTTTTTGACAACACCTTAACCTGGAGAGCATTTGCAAATACTTCAAATTTCCCCCCTCTTCTGCTGTCTAGGCTTCCCTAGATGGCACACACTGTGAAATGCAGACACTAATCACACTGCCTTTCTCTCACCGCTTGCTAGATGTGTAGCTCCAGGCAAGTTACTTCTGTTTCCATAGTCTCTATGTATGTTTTCAGCACATATAAATATATTTGTGGCCTCCCTGGTGGCACAGCGGTTAAAGGCAG